AGACCATTGGAAAAAAAACATATTTTCAAAAAAAAATATACGGAAAACATAAAATAATTTTATGGTTGGGGGTCACCACAACATGATGAACTGTATTAAAGGGTCACAGCATTAGGAAGGTTGAGACCCACTGCTCTAGACTCAAGTGCACCTTACACACCACTCTGGTATTTTACAAGAGAGTAGCAAAGTAAGTAACCCCAGTTTATCTCAGGGGCTTAGTTTGAAGTTCACTATGTCCTGTGAAACCAGCTAAATTGATCCTGGGCCTTTTATGTGAACATAGCCAATGAAAAACTTTTAATTAAAAAAAGCACTTGAATTGAGAATTATGAGTTCCTTTTCCTGGGCCACTTCACTGCTAGTTATTCCTTCCTACGGATGCTTAGAAAAAAGAAATGGGAGTTATCAAACCAATGTCCCACTCCAGGGCTCTAAAATCTGCCAAGGCTGTACTGAATGTTCCATCTACGTAAATAATGCGATTTATTTGGGAACAAGTAGGTTCTCTTAGAGACAGTACAACTTGTCTACCCAATTTTTGAACAGTGCCAAGAGACCATGTAATTTTACAAAATCAAGTCAAGAGCAGGGTAAGAGGTCAGAGCAATCAGCTTGCAGTAGCTGCTGAATATGGAGATAGCCACATCCTGTTGTCAAAAGCATGGGCTTTGTTTGCGAATTGTCCTCCAGTAGGTCGAAGTGATTATTTATTGAATCACTTCAGTAGAGATTATTGAATCTCTACTGCCTGCTTAGGCTTGGAATTTGAAGAGAATCATAGTCTCTTTATGAGAACAAAAGGCCAAAAAGGAGACCCCAGTTTTCATCAAAAATCCAATCTTAAGCAGAAGCTGGTGGTACAAGACTTACACCCGTTTCAACTTTTTGAAATTGATTCAAATTTTTGAAGCCCATCAAGCCATGCTTCTGTGGGCGTGGCTTGATGGGCTTGGCTTGGTGGGCGTGGCAGGGGAAGGATACTGTAAAATCTCCATTCCCTCTTGATCAGCTGGGGCTCGGGAGGCAGAGAATAGATGGGGCGGGGCCAATCAGAGATGGTATTTACCAGTTCTCCGAATTACTCAAAATTTCTGCTACCAGTTCTCCAGAACTGGTCAGAACCTGCTCAATGCCACCTCTCACTTACACTGTAAAGAATAACCAGATACTTCCTTGTCAATTTATAAAAGGTCACAAGACCTTACCATATCAATAAGAGGACCAAATGCAATGTTTGGATGATTTCCTTGAAATATCATGTTGGAGGACAGCTTTTCCACTCACTCCTCAAAGCCACAAGAGCCACTTCTCTGTAGTTTTTATTTTGGGGTTATTACATAATTGGCATCATCTCTTTGTTTTAACCCTGATGCAATTCTTAGTACAAAATCTAGCAATCAAAAGTGTTTTCAACCAAATGTTACAACGTTCCAAGGGTGGTGTAACTATATCTCCTCTCTCAATATTTGTTAAAAGCTTTAGAAACTTGAGCAAGACAATTAGCTCAACTTTATCCCAGCCCTTTCTAATTTACCTTTCAAAAAGGCAATATTCCAAGTAACCTGAAGCTTGTAAGTCGATTTTAGACACTAGAAATTATTATATAGGTATTACAATAAAATCTTTCAAGAATGCTGTAGAATAGATCTGCTGCTTCCATAACAAACTTTACTATTAGAGAAAATAAGAAGATCACAGCATTGGGGAAAAAATGAATGAATCAGTGAATCAAAAGAGTTTTGCATCACCTTAAAAAAATTATTAAGAGCCCATTTGGTATAGTGCTAAAGACATCAGGCTAGAACCTGGGAAACTGTGAGTTCAACCATTGTTGAACAGTAACCTTGGAAATTATTATTAACTATAGTTAATAATTAATTAGCTAACTAATGATTATAAACTATAGTCATTGCTATAAGCCTGCACCCAAATGTAACATTTGAACAGGAAGTAAGATGAATACAGTCAACAAGGCACGGCAAAAATTGATAAAAGTAGTCTAGCTTTTCAAGGGCTAAAATAGGCTAAAACAATGACAAATGCTTTTGTCATTGTTTATTGTTTTATTATTTCATTTCTGCTTTGTTTCCACACCTTTCATTTTTCTTCCTTTTTATTATTATAAGCCCCCTGGAGTAGCTCCACAACAAACAAATACATAAAATAGCAGGAGCAAAATACTATTAAAATATTTTTATGTTATATTCTATATGTATCTAATATTTCTTGTCATGGGAGACAATAGATGAAATGGAACATCAAGTCTGGTGGCATATTGTAACTATAGGTTTTTATTGTTTCTTCTTCTGTACATTGATTCCCTCCCCTAAACCTTCTTCTGGATAGTCCCTTTGTTTTCTGGAGCGCTCTGAAAACGTGCAAGAGGATGTTGAAGAAGGCATGTGTGAGATCCACCGAACAAAGATATTGCCATCATTAAGAAAAAAACCACCACCACCTCACTGGATTTCTCTCCAATTATTACGTTTTGCTTGTTTAAATAAAGTATAATAGAAACAGGCAGCTAATTAACTTCATATAATAAGTATATCTTGTCCCAAGTAGCCTGTAGAATCAATATTGTAATAAATATCTATTTTCTAAATGCAATAGAAAAGGTAACTAAAGGACTTAGGAGAAAATGACAACAGTGTACTCATGCCAAATGAATGAGAACAATTTTGAGACTCTTTTTTTTCTGAAAAGGGAAATTTCTTAAGCAAAATTTACTGTTGTTGTTTAGTGCAATATCACAATGAAAACCATTGTATCACAAAGCCATTGTTAAGTCAGTAGAACAAGTGTATACTTATGTGGTGTTTGTAGAATACAATTTCTTGCTCCCAAAGGATTAAATGGGCGAGTCTGAATTTATTGTCTTTATTTAGAGTCTCATTTCTGACTCCTGCTCTTCCTGTTGCTAACCAAACCCCATTCAGTCTTTCTTTCTTTCCTGTAATTGTCATGTCCCAAAGAAGAAAAAAGCTAGTTTAACTTCCCAACTTGGGCAAGCTGAAGATATGTTTTTATAGGGACAGCTGCAAGAATTATGGAAAGGCTGTAACTACACCACTGTATCAAAAAATGGGAGAAATTATTCATCTTATGGGAGAAAGATGATGATACTGTATAAACTGATTACATAATGGATCATCCCCACAGTTTTAAGTTCATTCTCCTGCCGTGCGATGTGTGTATTCCACATGGTGGAAGCAAAACTCTGAAAACAGCAAAAATATCACTTTGACAAAAGGCATTAACTTCCCCAAAGTGTTTCTTGTGGCTCTATTTTTTGAGGGTCTTGGGGAAAAAAACCCTACATGCTGTATCTTTCACTGCATCTGTCTCTTTTCATTACAGTGTTGTCACTTGTACATTTTCAGAGTAAAATCAACAGCAATAGAATAAAATATGAGATGGTATGGGCAAGACTGTCCTCTAGTGGCTGCTTCTATGATATGCCTTTGCAGTACTGCATTTTCGTCCAGTAGCGCAGACAGTATCTGTGCAACCTAGCAGGAGCTGAACAAGTGCTTAAGATGAATTCATTCTTTAACTAAGAACTGCTATTGTGAAAGACGGACATTATGAACAAGTTGTGAATGCAGCTAAATCAGTATGCAACCAAACATTGAGGATCCCATCCCTTATTTTCTAATGTTTTGTCCCTCAGGAATATATTTTGACATTGATTAGGATAAATATCGTGCTAAGCTACTTATTCATATAGTGCTTTAAATAATTTTAGATATTAATCAAAGAGCAAGCCATCTAATCTTAGCTACTTGCATTTTTAAGAATTTATGACTAGAGTAACTAGTTAACAAGAAGAAAAGGCATTTTTATTTCTCATTTTAGTTAGTACTTTGCTCCTTCACTGGACAGACTTCTCAAAAGAAGCTTATATTTTGTATTTATACTTCAAATTAAGAGCGCAAACTACTAAGACAAAGTGAGTACCATAAGATTTATATAGGAATTTTCAACTGGCACAGAAGAGGGTCAGACTGGGATGAACTTCTTGAAAATTCTAACACCAGACAGGGGTTTTCATTGATCATCACTCATCTCACCTTTGAAGGTATTAAGAGACAGAGAATATTCGTAGAAATGCTGAAAAGTACTATTACAATAGTGGCAGAGAGCATGATCTTTTTCAAATCAGTCATGAACGCAAGCTAATTTTTAGTTGAGCTATGTAGGATTGAATCTAAAGTTGACTGAATCCTAATCAGCACATTCAAAGAACTTTTAATATCCTGAATATGGTGGAAATCAAAGCGGAAGTCACTGATGAGTTTCTACAAATTATATTAAGCCTGCTTTAAATTTAAGATTTATTAATATTTAATAATGCTTATATTTACTGTATTAAAAATTATTTAACAGAAGAACAGAGTTGGAAGAGACTTGGAGGTTTTCTAATCCAACACCTGCTCTAGCAGAAGATCCTGTACCATTCCAGACAAAGGGATATCCAATCTCTTCTTAAAAACCTCCAGTGGTGGAGCATACACAACTTCTGAAAGCATGCTGTTCCACTGATGCTTCTGTCATGAAATTTACGGAATACAACTGTTTGTGAATAGCTGTTGACTCCTAAACTATCGCCAACACTGATGCCTCTGTCTCTGAAGCACTTCAGTTCACTGCTGCTATGATAAGTAAATCAACCTGAAGGGAAAAGAGTGTATCTAAAACATAAGTTTTATTACTAGTCCTCACAAGTCCCTGATCTGCTCTCTCCTCCAATAAAATTAAAACCAGGAAAGAAATAGAAACACATTCTGTTCCATGTGTCTATAATTCTGAATGAGAACGGCCTGATGTCTTATGTAGACATTATACAGAATCCATAGGACCGTGAGATTTGACTTCTATGTCTGTCTGCACGTAAGATATTTCAAGTCTTGTAAACTAAGTACTGAAAGTGTATACTGAACTGATGGAAATTTACAAACAAGATGCCAGTTGAACACAAAGGAAAAAATCATCTGTCTGCAGAATACTGTTTTAATTCCAAAGCAAAAATATAGATTTCATAAATTAATCAATGCATGTGTTAATTTTCATTTATGTCTTTACAATGCTTTGGTTTTTAGAGAATGAGAATCACATAACATGTTCTGAACAATTCGCCTGAGAAATTAATTTGGGATTTTCTTGACAGCATGTATTGTTCAATAGGTGAACATAAGCTGGACTACATAATTAAAACACAGAGGGAAATCTTTAGGAAATATTCTCAGAATCTCCAAATGCTTTTCCCATCTTATTTAAATAAAATATTTGGCAGTATTCCTTAACAATATTTAATTTTGAAGCAAGCCCAAGAAAAGGAGTCCATCTGGCTCCTATTCCGATATGTGCCTTTTTTCTTGCTCCCATTATCAGTGAAGTGATTCATTACAAAAGCAGGAAAAGTCAGAGAAAGTAAAGCAATAGAAAGTACACTCTATTTTCATGAATGAAGAGCAAAGGTGATGTTAGATCCAGTTTTGGCATATGTTGGGTAATTTCTAAGATGAAAAAAATATGGAGAATTCCCATTTTTTGCAATTAAAGGTCTCAATATGTTTTTCTCCTACAACTTCGTTATCCCAATATTATCCCACTGCTTAGAATTACAGAGATTAACAGTTATAAATACTCAACAGTCTTTCATTTCAAATCGATCTCACTCCAGTACATTTTTTTTTCCAAATTACCTCACATTTTTAGCTGATACATTTTTAGACATGTTTGGGCTTTGGTCTTGTTCTGAATTTCTGTTTCAAGAGGTGGGAACTTCTTCTCATGCAGGCTGAAAATGATAGCATGTCACTCACAGTAAAATACTTTTTAATTAAGTCCAGGGAATTTTCATACCCATTGTGAAAAGGCCCTCTTGGTTCTTCTTTTTTTTCAGTTTCATTTTTTGCTGAACAACAGACATATGGAAACTTCAAAAACGCTAAAACCCAATAAGCCGTGTGCAACTGGGAGGAGGAAATTTCAAATGATTCATATAGTGTTCATAAATGCTTATCCATTCTTCTAGCATTCAGATATAAAATGGACAAGGGCCTCTACATTGTCACAGTATTGAGTAGTTCCCTTTATAACTGATTCTTTTCCCAACTGAGTCCCAAGGGCATCGTTTCTAATGACACTTTCTGGAGAAAAAACAGCAACTCTGGTGGTATGTCTTGCCACGCCGGTGGTCTTTGGTTAAAGCCGCTACACCTCTCAAGCGGTTGGTGAGGGCACATCTTCCTGAGGCCTCAGCTCTTGCCCAATTCTGTTCTGTTCAAGCTCACTTATTACAGACATATATTTAAATTCATTTGGCTGATGGTTAAATGTTTCCACCAACCAATAGGTCTCTTGACGGTCTGTGGCATAGAAAAGCTGAACCTGGCTGGCAAGGCACTGGGCTTCCTGTACATTCTGTGAAAACAATGTATGTTGTTAGAAGAATTATGGGGCTTCATCAATGGAAAAGCAAGGAGCGTTAAAGTTTTACACCTTGTACCAGAAATTTAATTTCATTTTACTACTGTGCTCTAACGCCAGGACAATTATATAGTAACAGACATGACGAAGCTGCTATAAAAGTAGCACAGTGTTTTAGTATTTGGAGGCATTTCAAATCATTAAGAACTGATTATGAAAGAGAAAAGAACATTCTGATGATGAGGTCAGTGGCTCTTTTATGAATTCTGGGGCATTTCTAAGCCAGTCCTGAATATTGTCCAATTGTCTTGTCTTTGAAGTAGAACACAAATGTGTAACAGCAACAGTACAGCTTCAACTATCACAATACTAGTCAGACAAAAAGAGAGGGGGAAGAGAGAGGGAGAGGGAGGGAGAGAGAGAAGGGGGGCAACAGGAATGAAAAAAAAATGGGCCAGTCCTATTGTAGTCCAGATTAACTCTGCAAGCTATTACCGAACATTCACAAGTTTACATATTTGTTTTGTAAACTGCTAGCTGGCCATCTGGAAGTCTCTTCTATTGGTATCAACATGAGGGTGGAATATGTATAAAAATATTTGTCTGGTATACTTAGAAATGCTCATCCATTCTGTGCTTTCAATAAGCAAGACTGACAAAATGATACCAGAATTCCACTTTTATGCTATTTGTTGTATGCTATATGTTTTAACAAACCAAGGAACTGTCTTTTTGTCATGAAAACCTGTTCATTGCTAAGTTTCACTTACCAAGAATTTAGAATCCATTTCTGCAGTCATCAGTACAATTCCTTTTTCCTTTTGAAGTTCAGGATAATGATACAAAATCATCTGGCTGGGAGAAGCATCACTTTGAGCCTGCAGCAAATACAACGTTCACTATTATATAAAGATAGCGGTATTCAACAAGCATTTTAATAACCAAATCATTTTAAGACTCCAATCAGGAGAAAGATTCACAGGCAACTACAAGATATAAGAAGAAAATACTGTACTATTGAGCATTTTCTATTCAGAATTCTTTCCTTCTTTGATGTTTCATGTTTGGTATATGCACAGAAATGTTTGTATATAGGTGTATCTAAAACCTTCCAATACTCTAATACTAGGAAGTCAACAGAAAAACAGAAATGTAGATGCACCTCCCTCCCCCCCTAAAAAAAGAGTGAAAATTTGGGTGCATCTTATACATCGAATGTAGCCCCGCCTACCCCTACTCTTTGTAATTTGCATCCTTGCAGCGAACAGCCTGTTTCAGTTTCAGTTTCAGCTTCAGCCTGATTAGCACAAACAGCTGATTGTCGGTTGGATCGGTGTCCTGACCATCAGCTCTTTCAGGCTGCAGGGATTACTATTGCCACCTCCATATGCCCCATTTTCAGGCTTTGCATCCCATTTTTGGCCTCCACGCGCCTCATTTTCTGCCCATTCCGATCCCCACCACCTGGAATGGCGAAAAATGGAGTGTGCGGAGGCCGAAAACGGGGTGTGCAGAGGCTGAAAATGAGATGCGGAGGCCGAAAATGGGGGCAATAGGCTATGGCAATTCCTGCAGCCTGAAACAGCTGATCGTCGGGAGGCCCAATAATCAGCTGCTTGTGCTAATCAGACTGTGCTGAAACTGAAATGGGTTGTTTGCTGCAAGGAGGCAAATTGCTGGGAGGCAGATTTTTTTTTCTTGTTTTCATCCCCAAATGCTACTTCAGAGTGTCTTATACTCCGAAAAATATGGTATGTACAGTACTGTGCAAAGGTTTTAGGCAGGTGTGAAAAAATGCTGTAAACAAATAATGCTTTCAGAAATATAAATAATGATTGTTTATTTTTGTCAAGTTTCAAAATGCAGTGAACTAACAAAAGAAAAATCTAAATCAAATCAATATTTGGTGTTACTACCTTTTGCCATCAAACCAGCATCCATTCTCAAAGGTACACTTGCACAAAGTCAGGGATTTTGTAGGATTATAGTCATGATCAACCAACTATACCAAACAGGTGCTAATGATCATCAATGTCACACGTAGGTTGAAACCCAGTCATGAACTGAAACAGAAACAGCTGTGTACGAGGCTTAAAACTGGGTGAGGAACAGCCAAACTCTACTACCAAGGTGAGGATGACAGTTTCATGTCATGGCAAGATTGAGCACAGC